CTAACAACTAGATAATCTCAAGTATCATATGTACTTGTGAAGACATTTACAGCAATATTTAGGCGATTCTTCAAAGATACAAGCCAAACACATAATTTCCAGTAGTGTTTTTCTACTATCATCAAGAATGCACAAGACAATGAAGAAATAGCAAACTCTACTGCATTTCCTTTTGGATTTTATTTTCTTCTCCCAATTTCTACTGAAATGAACCACAAATACTACCTATTTATCAACTACTCATTTCTTGAAATGTAGAATCTTAGCAAAATAAAATGAATCTCAAACAGAATAATTTGATCTCAAACAAATTTACTACTGATATCGGAAAGGGAAAAACATAAAAGTTTATTATTTTGCTACAAATCAAGTTCTGGGAGTCCACTAACAAGAGAGGGAGAAATATAATTCAAGTTATTGAGGGATCAATAGACAGTAGCAAAATCACAAACGTAGTTTTATAATGTTTTGACCAAGATTATCACTAGAAAAAGTAGAACAGAAATTAAAGGCCATAAGTACCTCCATATTTTATTGGATATGAATTTGACCGCAGGTTTGAGTCAGGTGATGAAGAAACTCTGTTCCCTCGAACTGGCCTAGTTGGGCATAAGAGTCCTGAATTCCTACTGGCGTCATAGAGTAAGCTTAACTTAGTCAGAAAGCTAAGAGATGAGAGTAAAATAAAAATTTGAACTTCCATTGTCCTTTGCAGCAAGTACAGAAGAAGAAGAAACATCACACCACAAAACTATTATTGGACAATTACAAAATCTTCCAAGTACATTACATGATAGCTTAACATCTCAGTTGACACAAAACATACTTCGTTGACTGATCACTGAAAAACTACTTCAGGCATACAGTTTTGAAGCTGCTCCCTCGTCCAAAAACCATGTCAATTCCCCTTCTGGTGAAACCATTTGCACAGGCAATTTGTCAGAATTTGAACCATCACCAAGTGCTGCATGCACTACGTCTGCTTTACCAGCTCCCGCTACAACAAGTGCTATATTTGCTGAGGAGTTTATGACTGGAAAGGTGAAAGAAATCCTTTCAGGAGGGGGTTTTGGCGAGTTCTTAATGAATGTAACCCACTTCTCATTTTCCTGGCAAAGTGGATGTCCAGGAAATAAAGAAGCCACGTGCCCATCGGGGCCCATACCCAATAGCATAAGATCAAATTTCGGGAACCCACTACTGTCAGATTGATCTATTATTTTATTTTTAACCAAATGCTTGAGACAGGTCTCATAATCATCCGCTGCACCCTCAGCTGACAGTGCATCATTTATAGCATATACATTACCAGTAGGAATTGGTACCTACAAGTGGAAATAGGCAACCAAAAAAAAATAAAAAATAGCAATTTTATGTGTCAAAGTATTGTCATATTCCAGTATTCCCACCTACGAATAGATGTTCTTAAGTAGTCATCCACATTCATAATATGCTATGCAGTACAAATATCTCATCCATGCATATTGATAACTCAATGACCCCAATTCTTTGACATAAGAGAAATCACCTTTCAAACCATCGATAAATTGGTCTCATCAAGAAATGGAATGAGTAAACTCTGGAGCTGAAAATAGAACTAGCTACTTGTAACACAATGAATAATTAAACATTTTATTAACTACTGCTACTTTTCTAACTAAGCGCAATATTCTACTTGTACTCCATTGCAGACCAGCAAGACAACGATACATCTATGAAACCAGAACAAATTGAGATGACTTAACAATATTGAAGGGAAGAAGTACATGCCCCATGGAACCAAAAGGCAAAA